TACCATATAAGGGTTGTTCCTCTACCAAATTTCATGGAAAAATAACTTCGGAAAGGTGGTCAATCAAACACCTAAATTTTCGCAAATACTAAGACAAAACTGCCTTGAACCTTTTGTTTTTCCATTTCAGACATTTGGTCAAAGAAAATTCCTCCAAACCTGGTTCATTTGTTTAGGCAAAACTTAAAGAACGTTCATGGTACATTTGGTAAGTGTTTAGCATCAAAATATTCAGTTAGCAAGTCTTTGCCAAACCTTGCATCAAATCTGTCTAAAAATCAGGGTTTTCAAGGACAAAGCAGGTTTCACATTTTGATCACATATAACTCAAATTAACTCGGAATTTGGCATGGTTTAAGGCATTGGAAAACACATTCATAGACCTATAATTTCACAGAAGAAAGCATTTTGAAATTCTGTGAGAACCCGTAAAACCCTAATTATTTTCCTAGGGTTTATTTCCCCTTAATTGCATGTTTTCTGCATTTTCTGGCTTAGAAATATTTTCTTAGTGGATTTTATGAGCAATTATAGTTTTAAGATGATTTTTCTAACATTGGAGAAATTTTAGAAAATTAAGAGTAAATAGTGGACGTGGGACCCACTAGTGCGAAAAGTTCGGAAAATTCAGCCAATTAGGTTAAATTCCGGATACTGTGTGAAATTTATCGGGTGTTAAGAGATAAGTAGAATGTGTGAAGTGATTGATGTGAGAGGGAAAAAGAAGATAAGAATGCATTAATGAGTGTGACAAGTGTCACAATATGATTGGGTGGACTTTAAGAAATACTATTTCACATTTTGACTTTTTTTGACCAAAGGATTAAATATAAAAAAAATGCCCAAAATTCACCATTTTTCTCTTCCTTGTGGCCGGCTCTCTCCTTGCAAAGAAGAAGGAAATTCCACCAACTTTCAAGCTTCCATAAGCTTCAATCTTCCATAAACAAAAGCTTAGACTAGATTTCACTCCATAAAATCCTATCTTCTAGTGCTAGTAAGGGTTAGTGAAGTTTGTTGAAGAGCTAAGTGTCCAACACCTCTCTACATCTCTTGTTTCTTGGTAAGTTATGCTTGAACACCCTACTACACCTAATGATGGTATTATTATGCTTAGAAGTGGCTTGAGTGTTGGAATATGTGATTTATCTCTTGATTTGGCTTGTTTTGGTGAAGTTTTTATTTTATTGGGAATTTTTCTGGTTTAATATGAAATGAATGTTGTGGCCATCTTTGATGATTGGCAATGGACTGTAATGGCTCTAGTAGGTATGTTGGATAAGTATTTGCAATCAATTTTGGATTTGGATGGAAAAATGGAAAATTAGGGTTCATAAAACCCCAATTCTGTCCGGTTTTGGATCATAGGGTTAGAGGCCGAATTAGACTTTACTCAAAACATGAACGTTGTAGGTATTGATGTGTTTGAGGTGCCTGTAAAATTTTAGGTCATTTGGATTAGTGTAGAGTGAGATATGACGAAATTACTGTAGCTGTTCTGCTTTGATCAGAATGCGAAAACTGCGATAGTAATTGGCCATTATGACTGGAATTGGTTTGGATTTTGGAGTTGGGGTCTTCTGATGAAAATGTAGCTGGATGTCTTAGCTAACTTATGCCTTTGGAATTTCGGCTTTTGGACTTGTATGGACTGAGATATACCGATTACAGTTTTCTGTGTTTTGAAAACCTGTTTTGGTGATTCTGGTTTAGTGTTTGGCATTTTTGACCTAGTTGGGCTAGGAACTGGATTGAGTGACCTTCTACATTACTGTAGCCCTGTTCCATAGCTTCGAAACGGTCGGTCTTACACACCCCCATCCGATAATTGTAGTGAGAGTTGTGCCATTACCGCATTATGACGTCAAAACCGGTTTTCTTATCAAGGCCTAAGTTAAAGCCCTTTTCTTAATTTCTGGTTTGCTATCATGCTTGTATATGTTTATAAAACCCTATTGGGGTTGTAATTGGCATGGCTATATGGCTCGGTATCGAGTCTCATTGAATGTGTTACATGTTTTAGGACGTGACGGTAGCTCACGCACATCGGTGTCATGAAACACCACTTTCTTGCTTGGTGAGTATACTACTCACTTACTTGTTATAATGTGGCTTTGCTATGTGTATTTGATGTCTTGAAGGCTTAATTGGTTATTGGAAGTGATTGAGGTGAGGGTGTACTTGACCGCCCTCACCCCTTGTAATTTCCTTCATGGCTATTTACCGTTTTACTGAAATACTGCATTTGTTATATGAGATACTGAATTCCATGCATGGAAACTGATTTGGTGTCGTTGGACGAGTATCCAACGGCTTTACTGCATTACTGAGCTCAACCCCGTATGGTAGTAAATTGGATCGAGCCGGCGAGGGCTTGGTCGTGAAAATCATCATGCCACGGGGACTGTACTGGGAACCTTGTGGTAATGAGACCCTTGGTTCCGGTATACTCGAGTATTACCAAAACTACTGAAATGGAGTGCGGGCCCGGTTGGGGTATGTTGGGTGGAAGGATTGGAAGTAAAGTGTGTGAGAACCCAGAAAAAAAAAATTTATTTATTTTATTATTTTATTCCTGTGCACCGTTTTCTTGTATTTTCTTTATTATATTACTTTTATCAACATTTTATCAGTAAATATAGTTTTTAAATCATTTTTCTAGTATAAGGTAGTTCGTGAGAAATTTGGAACGTATTTTGGACGTGGGACCCGCTAGTGCATTTAGTGAGAGAGATTCGGCCGATTCGGTTAAATTTTGCATAAAGGGATTTTATTACTAGGTGTTAGGAGATGATTAGAAGTTACCTAGATGGATTAGGCCATGAGGGGCAAGAGGATAACTATAAGCAAGACAAAGTGCCAAGTGTCCAATCTTGGTTGGACCAAGCTTGCCTAACTTTTGACTAAATGTTCCTTACTTTATTTAAAGTGTAATTTTGACCAACAAGTCTTCATTCTTCATCTCCTCATAGCCAAACCTCTCCAGCCAAGAAGGAAAAACATTCTTCAACCTTTCATCTCCAAATCCTTGCTCAATCTTGAAAATCAACGATTGTTTCTTGAATTAGTCCGTAGAATCATCTTGCTAGGAGGGTTTGAAGACCTTGGTGGTGTTGTTTTGGAAGAAAACTCTCTAAGCTTCAACCTTTCTTGAAGAACTAAGGTATATTGCTTGGAACTCATCTTTTGTTTCTAATTTTGGCCAAATGGTGCCTTATAGTAGCTATATACGTGATTGTACGGAAGATTTGGTGGATTGGAGTGAAGTTTCCTAATTTTCTGATTTTTCTTGGAATTTTTCTGGTTTCATATGATGGATATGATTGGGTTTGATTTGGTGGTTCCAAATGGTGTTTTATAGCTCACTTGTGCGTTAATTGTAGTTAATTGCGGAAAATTGCCGCTTGTGCGGAAAATTTCAGATTTAGGGTTTCAATTGGGGCTTTGCTATGGTTGATTGTTGAGCTTCTAATTGGCTAGTATTGAGGGGTATTGTGACCCTAATGAAGTATATTGAATGCCTTATGAATTGTTTGGGTGCTTGTGGTTGTGTTGGATGGTTTTATTGGTGTCTTGTAGGTTGGAAAAGCTGAAATTTTAGGGGAAATGCTGTCCGAGTGTCTAGGGCATTGGATCCTTGTGAGTTGGGTTGAGATTGACTAGAAATGAATTTTTAGGGTTGTTTCTACTTTTAACCCTAAATATTATGTATTTTTCATTTCCAAGCTATATTTGGGTTTTACCTTAATAGTTCCTATTAAAAGGTATTCGACTCGTGTTTGAGTCTTAATTGTACTTTCTTGATTATTATAGGGCGTGCCGGTGATCCGAGGCTCACGGGCGAAAACTTGTGAAATTTCTTTGTTTGACTTGGTGAGTGTACTACTCACATATTTTGTTATTCCGTGGCTTTCTTGTACTTGAATTCTTGTGTTTTGACTAGTTGTGTGATTGTTTGGACTAGGTGAGGCGAGGTGTACTTTACCACTCTCGTACTCTCTGGCCTACTTGTTTGGTTATGATATAACTTGAATACTCTTGACTGTTTATTATATCACTTGAATACTCTTTGAATGTACTTGATTTGGTGTCGATTGGATACCATTGCTTACTGTATCTCTGATCCTTTACTGTTCACTCTGAGCTCTACCTCATTGGAAGTCAATGGACTCGAGCCAGTTAAGGACTTGGTCGGGGACATTTGACAAGCCATGGGGACTGTATTTTGGGAATCTTTGGGTATGAGTGTGAGGACTCACAAAATCCTTACATATTTCTCAAAAATTCCCTTTTATTTGAAAATTATTTGAAAATTATTATTTCATGTTATTCATGGTTCAATCACCCTAGAAAAGTGCCAATGACCATAGGAAATTAGGGTTTTCCTATTCGTTTTCAATTCAAGGTGAAATCGGATTTTTCGTGTAACCGTAGTATAATTATCCGGTACCGAGTAAGGATCAAATTTGGTGCTTAAGAGTGACTTTTAAGTGAGAAATAATATGTGATTAGGAGCAATGATATAAAGTTGGTGAATAGGAAGTAAAAATCCTAGTACGGGGGATTTAAGGAAAAACAGTGCGAACCGACGTGTACCGGGTACTACCGATTTAACCACCACTTGACCACCACTTTCTTACCATACAAGCTTATCACTAATTGAGCAAAATATCTTCCCTCTCATGATTACTTATTGACCAAAATATGTGGCCCAAAATGCAAGGAAAGAAAGAGAAAATTGTGTGGTTGAGGTTGAGCCAAGTGTTGGCCAAACTTGTGGTTAGAATTAAGTCTTATCTTTCTACCTTCTTATAAGACAAACTTAGCTTAATCTCCTTCATTTTATTCTTCATCTTGGCTGAGCAATAGAGGGAGAAAGGGAGAGCAAGAGAAAACAAATTCCTTCTTGATTTACACCAACCAAGTGCTAAAATCGAATTCTAAACCGATTGATTGTAAGTTTGGAAGCTTGGGAAGCTAAGGGAACCAAAAACTTCAAGAAATAGTGGAGGATCACTCTTGCAAGCCTTCTTTTTGAGGTATAAAATCTGATCTATGGCTTTGATCCTTTTATTCTTGCTTAAGATGTTAAATAGTCCATGTTTTGGGTTTGATTACAAGTGATGCAAGTTGTTGTGGTGATTTTTGGATGAAATATGTAAGTTAGAGTTTGATTAATTTCTGCCTAAACTTGTTATATGGTTAGTATATGTTGTATATAAGGTTATATAGGGGTTTTGGTAGCAAGTGTATCAAGAAATTAAGAAAACTATCATTGAAACCAAAAGATTTCAGATTTCTGGAAATTTTCATCCTATTCTGTCCGAATTTGAATCCCTATGTTAGAAGCCGAATTGGCCTTTGGTCAAAGAAGGAAAGTTGTAGAGAATGGTATTTTATAGGTTCCTACAAAATTTCAGCTCAATCGGAGCAACGTAAGATGTGAAAAGTCCAAAATACCCTTACTGTTTTAAGTATTTCCCAAGCAGTCCGTGTGATCAGTTAAGTCCAGTTTATCACGTTTTTCGACTAGGATCCATTCTGATTTAGCTTTTTGCCAAAACATGAAAGTTGTAGTATTCTGAATTATCTTTCAAATGCCTCTAAGAACACCTGATTCAGACTTGTATACTCGAGATATGTCAATTACAGTGTTCTGCGTTTAAACAACCGACGAATTGGTTTCTGGTTTAGTAATTTGAGAATTTGACTAAGTTACATTAGGAACTGGACTAAGTGACCTTCATGAATGTTGTAACTCTGTGTCTTAGCTTCGAAACGGCATAATGTTCATCCCAATCCGATAAGTGTAACTCCAGTTGTGACCATTATGCATGAACCCGTCAAAACTGTCTTTTGTCAAATTGCATTTCCGCACTTGTTATTACTTTGATTTTTGTTCTTATATTGTCTTGAGCCTATGAAATGGCTATTATGATGAGTTTGTGCTGTACATGACTTTGGGTTTGGCTGAGAAAAAAATCATGAAGCCAAAAATGGCTGGAAAATTAGGTAAACACAAAGGGCGTGCTGCCCAAATTTTCGCCCGAAAGCTAAGTTCTATTTGAACTTGTATAATACTATGACCGTTTTCCCATCTTAAAAACATGATCCTTCTTCAATTGGAAACTCCAAATGTTTACTTACTCTTACCAAATAAAGAGGAGTAGTTTAGGATTTTCTTGAGTATTTTGTCCTCTCTTTTTCATGAATTTCATTAAGACAATTAGTCTATAATATCTACTTGAATATAAGATAAGTTTCAACCACATAAACGATTCCGAAATGGTATTTCCTAGTCTATCTAGTTGGATTTTGATTTGTCTTTAGTTCAAGTGTTTCCATTAGAAAATTTTATAACCCTTTTGAGTTGGTTTTATGTGTGGTCTATGAAACCCTAGTTATTTTTATCCACGAGTCCAAATGTCCACGTTCCACTTTAAAGTCTTTTTATACGTTCTACTCATCATGCGACGAGTCTCTTTGATTGCACCTAATTGGTTGTGACAAATGAGTGGTAATATTCTTTTCGTTTAATCTTAGGTTTTCTCGGTGATTAAAGATAATATCCGGAGAGATATTTTGCCATTGTTTTTCATACGTAGGTGAGTGTTCTATATACGTTTTGTTTCTATGACTATGTGGATTGTTGGGTCTATGTGATTATTTGTGACTATTTGATTAAATGTTACTTGTTTTCTATGATTTCTAAAATGAACTTTTTCTAGGTGAGTGTGTACTTTATCGCACTCGACCTAAATAAATATGAAATTTTCAATGATTTAATGATGGAAACATTAGTTGCGCATGATGTAAGCCTTTTGGCTGAATTGGGCCCTGCCCTTCGTTACCGATCGACTCGAGCCAGAAGCGGACTCGGTCGGGCGATATGGTGACCCTGGGTGAATTTGGTATACTCGAGTATTACCTTGTAGTCCGGCTACGTCCGGATGGGTGGAGTCCGGCCAATGTCCGGATGGGTGGAGTCCGGTCAACGTCCGGAAAAGGGGATGAACGAACAAAAGGATGAACGAGGATTCTACTTACAAAAAATGTATTTTCAAACGATTGGAGGAATAAGGGGAAATGTTAGGGGAACGAACGAACAAACGAATAGCTCCTCGTGAGCCTGTATCCTTTTAATGAATGTATTATCATTACTTTATATTGAACATGTTTTCTGGATTAAATGTTATTACATGACTAATGTTCTTGTTTAATTACTTGTTTATATATATAGAACCTCACTGGGCTTTTTAGCTCATACCACGTCAATTGTTTTCCTTAGCAGGGGAAGGCGAGCAAGGACGAGCGTTCTGTATAGTCTAGTTGATCTAGTTCTTTGGCCTTGTAATGGTTCTCGCCCTAGTGCTTGGCACGGGCTGGTTGTATGAGGAATGAGAACCTTGTATATTCGATGTTTGTACTTGAATGGTAAAAACTTTGAAGACTTCTGGTGTGTGAAGTTTCTTATCTTTTACTTGAGCATCTATTGTCTATGGATGTATATACATGATTTAGTTCCATAGTGAGTGAGTCCTGGCGAGAGCTGGGCAGGCGACCCGCTGAACCCTGGGGTACGCCCTAGGGGGAAGTGGGGCCGTCACAGGTGGTATCAGAGCTTAGGCTTCAGATTTCTGTAGTGTATCCTAGGCTTAAAGTTTGGGATGCCGGACTGTGGGATTTGATTTGATTTGAAAGGTAAGCAATTGAGGGATAAAACCTATAGCTGCTTCGCGTGGTCTTTGCGCGGAGTGAGCCTGGACTAAGTGGTGAATAAGTATGAAGGATTAAGTGTTCGTTCGAGCATAAGTTATGGATCATAAATGTTATCGGCCTTAAATCTTTCTCATGGTATCTGAGGACCATAGATAGGTACGTCAGGTAGGAATTTCGATTGTAGATAGTTTACTCTTGGGACTGCAGCTCGAGATGTGAATTATCTTATTTCGGATTCTCGTGCCCGAGTACTCCAGAGTTGAGGCGATGCTAGCTACTAGGTACTTGAGACTTGTATTTTGGAATATGAACAGGCTTTGTCCGACCAAAATGAATATAAGAAATCTACGGACATCGAGTGACTAGGAAGTGACGTGAGAGACCGGACGGGGTCATCTTAGCTGAGTCTGGAAAATAGTGTAACCCAAAAGATCCTTGTGGTGAGATTGAAATGATTCTTAGTACGTGATCAACTTTCGAGAACTATTTTTATAAAGTGACTGCAATAGAGGAGGCTAAGGATTTAAATTCTGTGCCTATTGAATCTCTCATTAACTCACTAACTTCTTATGAGTTGAAGTTGAAAACTAAAGTGCAGGAGGAAGAGGACGCTAGAGCAAAGAGAAACATAGCTCTAAAGGCAGCTCAAAGTGAAGATGATCCAGCTCTGTTGGATGATGAAGACTCGGATTGTGATGACAACGATCTTGCTCTCATCACAAAAAGGTTCAAGAGAATCTTGAATAAAAGGAAGTTTAGAAGGGGAGGACCTAGCAATCAATTCCAGAATCAGTCTTCAAACGCAAGGCACAAAGGAAAACAAGAATTCAACAAGAAACAATTGGACAAATGCTACGAATGTGGACAGCCTGGACACTATGCAAGTGACTGTCCAGTGATGAAGAAGAAAGAAGGAAGAAAACCAAGATTAAACAAATTTCAATTCACTTGGAATGAATGCAACTCCGATGGTGAAATTGAAGAGAAAGAAGAGTCTGCTCAATTGGCTTTTATGGCCATTGGAGATGATGAGGTAACATCTTCTAGCTCTCAATTTGAAAGTGATGATGAAAATGATGATGATCTTGAATCCTTCATTATAAAATTGCATGATAGTTTGAAAGAATCTTATGTTAGAAACAAGGAGTTAAAACAGAAAATTAGTTTTTTGCTTCGAGATAATGCAAATCTTTTTCAACAAAACAAAAAGTTGAAAACTGAAAATGATTACTTCAGAAAAAATGAGACTGCTTTACACTTGGATCTTGATAGAAAAACAAGTTTTTGTGAAATGTTCAAAAGGGAACAAGATGATTTGAAAAGAAGAATGGATGATTTAAATGAATTGCTTCAACATAAAAAACAGGACTGTTTTCAAAGTAATAAATCAAAACCTCATTTTAAGATAAATTCTGCTGCAAATGAGTTTGTTATCCATAGGAGAAGACAAGTAAGATTTATTAAACCTGTTCATATAAATAATTCCCTAATTATGTGTAATTTTTGTTGTCAAAAAGGTCACATGAAAAGTGATTGCTATGTGAGAAATAATATAAAAAAAAAGGCATGAAATACATGTGGATAGTTAGACATGATGCTAACTTTAACAAGTAGGAGATTTTGTTAATCATTGCAGTGATTCTTGTTCACAATATTCTTCTTTTGATATTTCTGATATTTTGATTTGAGTTTTCGCTGATATTTTTGAATACTACTGAATCTATATGATGTCAAAAAGGGAGAGAAAAGAACTATTCTGATCTAACGATGATTTACTAATTTCTCTGTGATAAGTTGGTATGTTGGTATTGCTGAATTCTGCTATCATTTCTCTATTTTTGTTTGAAATATTGAATTTTCTGTTATTGTTGTTGGATTATGGTTGCTGGTTATTACTCTCATCTTATGATGACAAAAAGGGGGAGAGATGGATGCAATGTGTAAGGGGGAGTTATTATGAGATTATGAGTTTGGCTCTTAAAAGTTTTGATTGCTATGATTGAGGGGGAGCTTATACTTATTTTTGTTTCTTTCCATCCATTGTTTTGTCATCATCAAAAAGGGGAAGATTGTTGATCTTGATCCCTATCTTTTGATGTTTACAAAACAAATGGATGATACTAATATTTCTTCAAGATATATTTTCAGTTATGAAATTATTTGATTCCATGAACAAGTGCAATTGAAAGAAGACAAAGTATGCTGAAGCTGTCGGACGCTCAAAAAGACTGCATCGGACGTCCGACAACCATTGAGTATCTTCGGACGCAAAAAACCAGCCTATCGGACGTCCTAAGGAATTGAAGAAAAATTTCCAGTTCTACATCATACCTTCGGACGCAGAAAACCAGCCTATCGGACGTCCGAAAGAATTGAAGAAAAAGTCTTAAATTCTCTGCCTGCTGTCGGACGCATAAAACAGAGCTATCGGACGTCCGACACTGCCAACGGCTAGTTGACTGTTCAGCTACTTTCTATCCGTTGGAAGCATTAATGAGGCACTTTCTTGGTCCTATATAAATAGTGGTTGGTCAGACACTTCAAACAACTTTGGCACACTGAAGATACAAAAGATCTAAAGAGATTTTAGTGAGAAAATACTCCAAAAAGAATATTTGTAGTCTTAGTGGTGTGAGGTTCATTGTAAGCGTTTCATTTGTGAGTGAATCTTTCATGAGTGTAGCTCTGTGAGGGTTGTCCTGAGGGATAGTAAAACGTCCTGGCTTGACCGAGTGCTGCTTGGGCCAAGGAGGAGGTGAACCTTCTTTTGTACACAAGAGTGATTGTAATTCATCAACTTGAAGTAGCTTGTTTCAATTAATCTACAAGCTCAAGAGGAGTTGGGTAGTTAATTGATTTGCAATCCTTTTCTTTTATTTACTTACTGTTACATTTGTGATCTTTCCATTGTTTATGTTTGTCTCATTGGTTGTTTTCGGGCCTAACATGATCAAAATTGAACATTCGGCAACCTTATTTGTTCATTTTCCAGCAAGGTGTTTGATCATAGTTCAAGTATTACAGACTCCAAACATACAAACTCATCACCAAAACCTTCCATTCCTTTCCCTTCAAACCAGATTAAGCATGCAACTCAAGTGTAAAGGTTCAAAGAGCAGCCACGGGGAAGAAAACAACACACACAAAAATGTAGCAGTTTTCCTTTGCTGTGAATTTCGCAACTTCAACTCGCGTATGTTAAATGCTGAAAAACATTGCATTAAACTCCCCATTTATCCACCAAACTCACACACATATTCACTCACCCATTGATCAATGTTCAAGCATGGTTATCTTCCCTTAACTATCCCAAATGAAAATGTTACAGGTCCAAGAAAGCAAGAACAACAACCAAAATGCAGCAAAAAAAACCTTATTACTTTGTTTGAAAACGTTAAGCTACAACATTCAAGAAAACAATCCAATCTTGAACCAAAACCTGAACTCATCATGAAGATATAGTATTAACACGCAAGGGACAGCTTGAAACAAACATTGCTCATGTTATCACAAATAAACAGCAAACAACGACAAGGATATCAAACAACTACTAACTTTAGTGTTCCAAAGAAAGGAAAAGCTGCTGCAACAAGTCGATTGTTTTCAAGCTTATTGCAGCAGACTCTATACGCAATGCTCATCCCAAGGAAATCTAAACCCAAGCAAGGGAGTCATAAAACATTCCAATGGCTATCCATCCTAGAGTTCAAGCAAAAAGGAGATTTCTTGTAACTAAACAATGCGTCATTTGCCACTGCCGCAACAAAGTGCCGCTACGAACTTCACAACTTATCCCATGCATTTATGTTCATATGACCAGAACCAAACCATCATTTTTTAGCCAAAAACCCACATATTCCTTAACCCTTTATTGCTTACAGAAACCAAGCAGAATAAAAAAATCTTAAGATAAACTAAAACAGATTAAAGGGTCATGCAAATCTGATAACAGAGAGAAAACCTATAATTTGCTGGGCTTACTTATCACAAATATCAGCCATAAATCCCAAACAGAAGCATCTCAAATTCATCATAAAACCACCACTGAGGAGCCTCAAACTATTGTCCCTAAAACCCCAGGTTAGAACCTCCATGCGTTCACCAACCATAAATCAAACATTAACAACAGAAAAATCCAAACTTGGCATGAGTTTGTGACTGAAATACCTTGGTGAAGATCTGCTGCGGGGCTGGAATGATGGCGGTAGTGAAGGTTACTGATTCCAACAGTCGCTTTGCTCCTTGGGAAGTAGCACCGGGTCTCCTTTCTTCCTTGCTCAGAAACTCTCTTCCGTTGTCCTCGACCTCAGCCGCCCCAGATTCCTTTCATCCGTCGTTCTCTCCCTCGGTTCCTTTCCTAATACTCTAGCCGCCAGTCTCCCCCTCTATTCTCTCGAACCCCAGCCGTCACTCCCTTTTTCTCCTCACTCCGCTCTCTCTAGTTCTCTCCTGTCTCTTCTCTGTTCTATCTTTTGCCGTCCCTTACATTCAGCTAACCTCCCGACCTCCTGACTTTTTCTTCTCTCGTTTTCGTTTTCACTCTCAACCTTGCCCAGCTCCCTTGTTTCTTGCTCTCTCTTTGCTGTCTTGGCCCGCAGCCTTTCCCTC